AGATACCGCTTCTTGAGCTATCCGCTGGAGTCCCTCTTAATTTTCGATTTGGACCACGCTAACAAGAACTGCAAGCAATAGCCAAGCAGCGGAAGGTCCAGCGCTCATTAGAAATGAAGAGGTTGTTGGGCAGCTGAAGCCTCCTATGAGGAGGACAGCTTATCATTGTGACAGGAAAAGATGCGTCCAAAATGGTAGCTGACTGCGACGCACCTTTTTATATTTTTTACAGAACGAATGCATCTGCTTCAATTGAAGTAGCGTAGGTTGCTTCATTAGATTGGCGAACCTCACTCAATGTTTCGCCTTGGTAAAATTCATGCATGCAGCGCTACAAATAGTTTTTGGAAAGTTGGCGCCTTAAATATATGTTATTTTGGTGTGAATGATTCTCCATTGTAAAAAACAATCAATATCAAGTTTTCCTATCAATTTCCTAGTGCCGCATAATCGCCTGGGGGCGAAGAATTCGGCCCAAAACCCAGCATTCCTGTAAGACAAATCAATACCGCTTAACTTCATGTTTTCTCTTATTTTGTGAAACACTGAGAAAGAAGGGAGCTCACATGCTGGCAATTTACATTTTGCGTAGGTTTAAGCTCGATGGGACTAACAGTCGCCTGTTGTTTCGCCTTTAAACAAAATTCCTCGAAAATTCGCTTTCACTAGATCCAATAATACAGCTGTTGTAGTGGTTTTTTGATTCTGGGGACATTGCTAAGCCTAATTGAAAAAATCTTTTCTCCAGCTAGCGATGTCAGAACCCGCACTGCGCTCTGCCAATAACACCACTGTTTCTGGAACGTTCGAGAATAAGATGCTTCGATGCTAACCATGAAAAGGAGAAGCTCTTCCAATCCACGAAGCTGGCTAATGCTGCTTATGGGAAAATGGCCTGCTTTGGACAATATTTATAACACTTCATGACTTTTCGATATAATATATTGATAAATTTTCAAGCGCAGTATAGCCCCAAATGCTTCGACCGTAGAGGCTATAGTTCCGCAGTTGAGGAAGAGCACTATCAGTACAGCTGCTTTGATTGAGCGAGAGCTGTTCTACATCGCCAAGCCAAGCACCATGGAGGTGATGGGCTGTTAAAGCCCCTTCAAGTACCTGGAAATACATAGTGAATTTGTAGTAAACGGGTCCTCGTTCCAGTGGAACTCGTAAAGAGACATTATTACAGGTGTAACGTTGCAGCTTATCGCAGACCGACCCTAAAAGACATTAAAGCAGCAACCCTAAATGAGGTCGCGTCGAAGAATCCATTACGTGGGTGAGATAAGTAGAATAGCCCACGAGTATCACAGTTGTGCTGTTGCCGCGACTGGAAAGTGCGCGATAATAGCGCTAGGGCCTTGATCTGAGTGTCTATTAAGACGTAGCGGATAAGGTAACCGATAGGTAGTTAGATATGATAGAAGTATCTAAACCTTCCTTTCCTCGCCATCAATATCAACCACTGTTAGCTCACCATTTCGATCTGTGAGTTTTCGGTTTGAACTAACGATAAGAATTGAAATGGGTAAATAAGACTTATCAGAAAAACCACAGTGATGAGAACCTCACTTCTATTCGAGTCCATTTTGGGATAAATGAAAGATAGCCTCACAAGCATCAAATGCAATTACATTTCATATATATTATTAAGGGTACTTTCAGACACAAGGCAAGCGCAGGTGAATCGAGCGATCGAGCAAACCAAGTCGCGACAAATGGCTGCACCTATTGCTCCACGAGCATCAAGTAGACAGTCACAAAATGTAACAGTCTTTTTTGAGTCAGTAATACGAAGTTATTACTCTCTGTTCTTTCATTCCAGACACCCGGGCGAAGTGAGCTCATTGATGTAGGGAAATTAAATCAGCTGATTAGAGCGCTGGACAAGACTTGGATTCTTCCACGACTGGGCGCCAAGGAACCAGTCGGTAGCAATTTTCAGGGTAAGAGTGAAAAAATGTGATATTTCAGTGTGCTTGATACTCTTGTCTGTTTCCAGTACAAAAAGACATGCGCTTCGATTTTTCAAAGCGAGGCATGGCGCTTGTCAGCAGCTTGGCTTTGGAGTGATGTGCTTCAATTATTGCGCACGATACTGAGGTGAGCTTTTTTTTTGAAATGTTTAGTTATTTTGTCAAAGCAAATCAGAAATTGCCAAAAAGCTCTGTCATACTTTTGTAGGGCGCAAAAAGTATTCAGATCGAGGCTAGTTAAGTGTTCATCTAGACGAGTCCATTCAACAATGACCTAAGTAATTGTTTTGCACTGTATTCCGAACGAGGTTATCAAGACAGAATGTTGATTGAATGACCTTGCTCTTCGACTGTTTCGTCTTTCTTTCAGGAGGCTTGAGATTGTCAAGATTCCACCGATGAGGATCACTAGCTCACCCCATGTGTTGTTAATGGCGCCATTCAGGTGATTCACTTCCGCACGCTGGGGAATCGGTGTGGGACGATATCAGCCATGATCCTCTGAAAAAGTCAAAGCGATCGAATCGTCGATGGACAAGTAAATGAGCATTTAAGCTGTTATTCAGGGAGAATATTAAACTGCTGTGAAGCGTTTTCAAAAAGAAAATGTTTCGCAGCTCTTCTATCTTTCTAAGACGGCACAGCACAATTGGCTCTATTTCCTCGGAGAAAAACAATTTATCAAAGGAGCGCTACAGATGTGAAGCTCATGTGTGCCACTAATGTGCAGGAAAGGATTTTTCGCAAGGCAAAAGATGGTGACCCCACTGCTAGCCGTCTTTTGCAATGCAGGCCAACTACCACTCAAAAGTGAAGTTCACTCAACGTAAACGCCGCTATTTATATAGAATCGTGAAGTCGTTTCGGAATGTGTATGGACGCAAGCGCTAGGGTAAGGCGTAATGAAGAAACTGCTGCCGTAACAAGTTGAATATCAGCGGTCCTACCGAATCAGCGATCAATGATCGCTTAGCTATTAGCTTCTGTAGGGTCTGCCGGGTATTTTAGCTCCTCTTAGAAGTGTGAGGGTATGCATACAAATGTTATCTGACCGACGCAGGTTCTTGCGAAGTCCGGTCGGTAGTTTTGTGGGTGATTACACTCTAGCGGAGAATTCTGGGATCTAATGAACGCTTCTCAAAAAGGGGGGACTTTCACGGAATAAGAGTGGTCATTTTCTTCCCGCGTGGATTACGATACCTCTCGTCAGAGCTTTTTTCACTACCTTTGTTTTGTTATCAAACTTCACAAAAAAATAAGATGTTTGGTCATCGAAAATAATACTAGCAAGTAACTGTCCTTAAGTGCATCGCGACGACCCCAAATGGAGTTCAATCTAAAGTAAAGCAATCGGTCGTTCATTCTTGCTTGTGAGGAGCCCGATTTTTCTTAGCCGCTGCTATCTTCAACTCTGTTTGACGCTGCACTCGTGCAGCTCACGAACCACGAGTCGCGCAAAACACCTCTGATGATAAGATCTCAAAAACAGATTAAGCGGCGGCGGAACAAACTACTAGGGAGCCAGCTGTCATACTGGCCTCAGGAAAGTAAGCTTGCTACGAAAAGTATTGAGGATGGTAAGGAAGTCTTGAGCCTGTTTGACTTTTTTACTCATTATTTTTTTATTCAGCATACGATGGAATTTTCTGAACAATATAATCACCATTGTTACTCAGTGCAGTGTCCCACCTAATGGACAGGTCAACGATTCGTCCCTGCTAAAACTGGGGAGATTGGAAGTAGAAAGACGACCGAGGCAAGCTCTTGTCCACCTAGTCCACGATAACGCCAGGCCTCATATGGCTAAAGAGGCCGTGAAAATTGGAAGAGCTGATCTGGGACACGGTTCCCACCCACCCTATTCCCCTGACATTGCCCTCTCTGATTATCACTTATTTCATCCCCTTAAGGCATTCCTAGCGAAGAAAAAATTCACCAAAGTTGAAGACGTTGAAAGAGCGGTCAGCGATTTCTTTGACTCTCAGTCTGCTCAGTTCTGGGAGAAGGGGTCGCTGACCTGCCCATTAGGTGGGACTCTGTAGTGAGTAACAATGGTGATTATATTGTTGAGTAAATTCCATTGCATGCTGAATAGA